TCGACACAGTCACATCACCACCGACTCCACTCGATGACGAGCCACCAGACACACGAACAGCTCCGCCAGACCCGCTCGACGACGAAGAACCACCGCTCACGTCCACGGATCCGGAAGATCCCGTGTACGACCCACCGCCACCCACGAGAACATTGCCTCCCGATGCCGCCGTGCCGCTAGAGCCGCCCACAACACTCACCATCCCACCGGGCCCTGTGTCACTAGAGCCGCTAGACATACGCACAGCACCGGTATTGCCATCCACCGCGCCACCCGACACAAGCGACACATCGCCGGATGCAGATGCAGCACTTGCAGCACCACTCTCAACCGACACAAGGCCGCTCACGTCGCTGCCCACGCCGCTCGTCACAGAAACCGCACCGCCCGTCGAAGTGCTGCTAGACCCTCCCGATACAGACACACGACCCGCTGCCGTAAACGCATCGCCAGACTGCACAGACACATCGCCGCTGCTAGCCGCTGCCGAAGACCCCGAAGACAGCGTCACCACACCCGACGCAGCATCCGCGGACTCGCCACTTCCGATCGTAGCCGAGCCGCTCAAGGCGCCGCCGATCGCAGAAGCACCGCTCACAACGGTCATCTCACCGCTGCCCAGCAACCCCGCGCCAGACGAAATGGACACGCCACCACCGACGCCAGCCTCACTCACGCCGCCGTCAAGAGAAACAACGCCTCCAGTCGCCGCGCCCGTCGACGCCGCACCACCGGACAAGGCAACGTCGCCTCCAAGGCCCGAAGATGCACTCAAAGAGCCACCTCGAACACTCACCGACCCGCCACCCACGCTGCTGGTCGTGCCAGCTCCGGCCACAATCTCGACCTTCCCGCCGTTAGCACTGCGACGAACACCGCTAGAAAAACTCACCCATGCCGTCCTCGCCAGACGACACGGTCACAGAGCCTCCGCGTGCACTCGAGCCGCCGGTTGACCCACCACGGATCTCCACGCTGCCTGCATCGGATGAGCTAGCCATGCCGCTAGCCACGACCACAGACCCACTCGATCCACTTCCGCTGACGCCGGACACAACCGACAAGGACCCAGAAGCACCGGAGTCCGCGTCGCCCGTACCAATGTCCACGTTGCCGCTCAAGCTGGAGTCAGTCGCAGCTGCACTGGACACCGTAATGCTGCCGCTGTTCGCGCTCGCCATACCGCTCTCAAGCGACACAGAACCACCCTCAGACGAACCGCCGCTGCTTCCGCCACGCATCGACACGGAGCCACCACTCGATACGGTACTACTGCCACTAACCACAGCCACGGACCCCGACGTACTGTCGCTCGAGTCCCCACTTCCCAACGTCACGCCGCCAGATGCGCCTGTTCCCGAAGCGCCACTCATCACATCCACGGACCCGCTGGCACTACCAGAAGTCGAACCCACCGTTACGTCGCCACTGACAGCGGATGCATCGTCTCTTCCTCCGCTTAACACGGACACCGACCCGCCCTTAGCGACGCCAGCACCACCTGACACAAATACCTCGCCACCGGCATTGTCTCCAGCAGAACTGCCACCGGTTAGTCGAACGGCGCCTGCCACAGCTCCTGTAGAAGGCGATGTCGACAACAAGGAAGCTCCGCCCGTCAGCAACACGTCACCTGCCGCGGATTCAGAGCTGGACCCACTGCGCACGTCAACATCGCCGCCGTCAGCCACCGAAGAACCAACCCATAAGTTGATGCTTCCTGCGGATGAGCTGCTGCTCGTCGCCGAACCGGACAAGACATGCACATCGCCCGACACCACGCCATCTGCACTCTGCAGCCGCACATCGCCACTGCTGCTCGAGCCTTCTCCGCTTCGCAACTCCACTGACGCACCAGGGCCCGACACGCTCTCGCCGCCGGACACCTTCACATTGCCTCCCGTCGCACCAGCACCACCGGCCAAAGCCAACGCACCACCCGCAGCAACAGTGCTACTACCGCCGGTGACGCTCACAAGCCCACCGGTACCTGCAGCCTCGCCACCGAACACGCTCACCGACCCGCTCGAAAGAGCAGGCGACGCGCCAGACGCGATAGCTACAGCGCCAGACGAACCGCTTGCCGTCGACCCACTCAACAGCGACACCGACCCGCTCACAGTCGTGCTTGCGCCGCCTTCAGACCCGAGCGTCACCGACCCGCTCTCTGATGCCAAACCGTCGCCGCTCAAGATCGTCATGCTGCCGCCTGTCAACGACCCCGATGCACCGCCCAACACAGACACCGCGGAGCCTTCACCATTCACGGAAGAGCCACCAGACACCTCGATCGAGCCAGTACTAGCATCACCGGACCCGCTGCCGATACGAATGGACCCGCTAGACACGCTGCTAGCGCTAGTGCGCACCTCGACGCCACCGCTCGAACCACCGGACATGACGCTCGTGAACACACGCACGTCACCGCTGCTCACAGCACCACCGCCGCTTGTCAACAGCACCGCACCACCCACAGTGGACGCAGACAACCCCCCATCAATGGACACGTCGCCTCCCGCTCCTTGCGCGTTCCCAGAACCGATGATCTTCACCTTCTGCGCTGTGTCCACGTTGGTCACACTGCCACCACGCAACTCCACATCGACCCCAACAGCACTGCCGTCGCCCTGGACGAGGCTCAGGCTGCCGCCAGAACCACTGCGGACAAACACGCTGCTGCCGGACGCACTGCTTCCGGAGTCGCCGCTCGACACAGTCACATCACCACCGACGCCTCTCGATGACGAGCCACCAGATACACGAACAGCTCCGCCAGACCCGCTCGACGACGAAGAACCACCGCTCACGTCCACGGATCCGGAAGATCCCGTGTACGACCCACCGCCACCCACGAGAACATTGCCTCCCGATGCCGCCGTGCCACTAGAGCCGCCCACAACACTCACCATCCCACTGGGCCCTGTGTCACTAGAGCCGCTAGACATACGCACAGCACCGGTATTGCCATCCACCGCGCCACCCGACACAAGCGACACATCGCCGGACGCAGATGCAGCACTTACAGCACCACTCTCAATCGACACAAGGCCGCTCACGTCGCTGCCCACGCCGCTCGTCACAGACACCGCACCGCCCGTCGAAGAGCTGCTAGACCCTCCCGATACAGACACACGACCCGCTGCCGTAAACGCATCGCCAGACTGCACAGATACATCACCGCTGCTAGCCGCTGCCGAAGACCCCGAAGACAGCGTCACCACACCCGACGCAGCATCCACGGACTCGCCACTTCCGATCGTAGCCGAGCCGCTCAAGGCGTCGCCGCTCGCAGAAGCACCGCTCACAACGGTCATCTCACCGCTGCCCAGCAAGCCCGCGCCAGACGAAATGGACACGCCACCACCGACGCCAGCCTCACTCACGCCGCCGTCAAGAGAAACAACGCCTCCAGTCGCCGCGCCCGTCGAGGCCGCACCACCGGACAAGGCAACATCGCCCCCAAGGCCCGAAGATGCACTCAAAGAGCCACCTCGAACACTCACCGACCCGCCACCCACGCTGCTGGTCGTGCCAGCTCCGGCCACAATCTCGACCTTCCCGCCGTTAGCACTGCGACGAACACCGCTAGACAAACTCACCACGCCGTCCTCGCCAGACGACACGGTCACAGAGCCTCCGCGTGCACTCGAGCCGCCGGTTGACCCACCACGGATCTCCACGCTGCCTGCATCGGACGAGCTAGCCATGCCGCTAGCCACGACCACAGACCCACTCGATCCACTTCCGCTGACGCCGGACACAACCGACAACGAACCAGAAGCACCAGAATCCGCGCTGCCCGTACGAAAGTCCACGTTGCCGCTCAAGCTGGAGTCAGTCGCAGCTGCACTGGACACCGTAATGCTGCCGCTGTTCGCGCTCGCCATACCGCTCTCAAGCGACACAGAACCACCCTCAGACGAACCGCCGCTGCTTCCGCCACGCATCGACACGGAGCCACCACTCGATACGGTACTACTGCCACTAACCACGGACACGGACCCCGACGTACTGTCGCTCGAGTCCCCACTGCCCAACGTCACGCCGCCAGACGCGTCTGTTCCCGAAGCGCCACTCATCACATCCACGGACCCGCTGGCACTACCAGAAGTCGAACCCACCGTTACGTCGCCACTGACAGCAGACGCATCGTCTCTTCCTCCGCTTAACACGGACACCGACCCGCCCTTAGCGACGCCAGCACCACCTGACACAAATACCTCGCCACCGGCATTGTCTCCAGCAGAACTGCCACCGGTTAGTCGAACGGCGCCTGCCACAGCTCCTGTAGAAGGCGATGTCGACAACAAGGAAGCTCCGCCCGTCAGCAACACGTCACCTGCCGCGGATTCAGAGCTGGACCCACTGCGCACGTCAACATCGCCGCCGTCAGCCACCGAAGAACCAACCCATAAGTTGATGCTTCCTGCGGATGAGCTGCTGCTCGTCGCCGAACCGGACAAGACATGCACATCGCCCGACACCACGCCATCTGCACTCTGCAGCCGCACATCGCCACTGCTGCTCGAGCCTTCTCCGCTTCGCAACTCCACTGACGCACCAGGGCCCGACACGCTCTCGCCGCCGGACACCTTCACATTGCCTCCCGTCGCACCAGCACCACCAGCCAAAGCCAACGCACCACCCGCAGCAACAGTACTACTACCGCCGGTGACGCTCACAAGCCCACCGGTACCTGCAGCCTCGCCACCGAACACGCTCACCGACCCGCTCGACAGAGCATGCGACGCGCCAGACGCGATAGCTACAGCGCCAGACGAACCGCTTGCCGTCGACCCACTCAACAGCGACACCGACCCGCTCACAGTCGTGCTTGCGCCGCCTTCAGACCCGAGCGTCACCGACCCACTCTCTGATGCCAAACCGTCGCCGCTCAAGATCGTCACGCTGCCGCCTGTCAACGACCCCGACGCACCGCCCAACACAGACACCGCGGAGCCTTCACCATTCATGGAAGAGCCACCAGACACCTCGATCGAGCCAGTACTAGCATCACCGGACCCGCTGCCGATACGAATGAACCCGCTAGACACGCTGCTAGCGCTAGTGCGCACCTCGATGCCACCGCTCGAACCGCCGGACATGACGCTCGTGAACACACGCACGTCACCGCTGCTCACAGCACCACCGCCGCTTGTCAACAGCACCGCACCACCCACAGTGGACGCAGACAACCCCCCATCAATGGACACGTCGCCTCCCGCTCCTTGCGCGTTCCCAGAACCGATGATCTTCACCTTCTGCGCTGTGTCCACGTGGGTCACACTGCCACCACGCAACTCCACATCGACCCCAACAGCACTGCTGTCGCCCTGGACGAGGCTCAGGCTGCCGCCAGAACCACTGCGGACAAACACGCTGCTGCCGGACGCACTGCTCCCGGAGTCGCCGCTCGACACAGTCACATCACCACCGACGCCACTCAATGACGAGCCGCCAGACACACGAACAGCTCCGCCAGACCCGCTCGACGACGAAGAACCACCGCTCACGTCCACGGATCCGGAAGATCCCGTGTACGACCCACCGCCACCCACGAGAACATTGCCTCCCGATGCCGCCGTGCCGCTAGAGCCGCCCACAACACTCACCATCCCACCGGGCCCTGTGTCACTAGAGCCGCTAGACATACGCACAGCACCGGTATTGCCATCCACCGCGCCACCCGACACAAGCGACACATCGCCGGATGCAGATGCAGCACTTGCAGCACCACTCTCAACCGACACAAGGCCGCTCACGTCGCTGCCCACGCCGCTCGTCACAGAAACCGCACCGCCCGTCGAAGTGCTGCTAGACCCTCCCGATACAGACACACGACCCGCTGCCGTAAACGCATCGCCAGACTGCACAGACACATCGCCGCTGCTAGCCGCTGCCGAAGACCCCGAAGACAGCGTCACCACACCCGACGCAGCATCCGCGGACTCGCCACTTCCGATCGTAGCCGAGCCGCTCAAGGCGCCGCCGATCGCAGAAGCACCGCTCACAACGGGTCATCTCACCGCTGCCCAGCAACCCCCGCGCCAGACGAAATGGGACACGACACCACCCGACGCCAGCCTCACTCACGCCCGCCGTCAAGAGAAACAACGCCTCCAGTCGCCGCGCCCGTCGACGCTCAGCACCGGACATGCAACATCGCCTCCAAAGCCCTAAGATGCACTCAAAGAGTCACCTCGAACGCTCACCGACCCGCCAACCCACGCTGCTGGTCGTGCCAGCTCCGGCCACAATCTCGACCTTCCCGCCGTTAGCACTGCGACGAACACCGCTAGACAAACTCATCATGCCGTCCTCGCCAGACGACACGGTCACAGAGCCTCCGCGTGCACTCGAGCCGCCGGTTGACTCACCACGGATCTCCACGCTGCCTGCATCGGACGAGCTAGCCATGCCGCTAGCCACGACCACAGACCCACTCGATCCACTTCCGCTGACGCCGGACACAACCGACAACGAACCAGAAGCACCGGAGTCCGCGTCGCCCGTACCAATGTCCACGTTGCCGCTCAAGCTGGAGTCAGTCGCAGCTGCACTGGACACCGTAATGCTGCCGCTGTTCGCGCTCGCCATACCGCTCTCTAGCGCCACAGAACCACCCTCAGACGAACCGCCGCTGCTTCCGCCACGCATCGACACGGAGCCACCACTCGATACGGTACTACTGCCACTAACCACGGCCACGGACCCCGACGTACTGTCGCTCGAGTCCCCACTGCCCAACGTCACGCCGCCAGACGCGTCTGTTCCCGAAGCGCCACTCATCACATCCACGGACCCGCTGGCACTACCAGAAGTCGAACCCACCGTTACGTCGCCACTGACAGCGGACGCATCGTCTCTTCCTCCGCTTAACACGGACACCGACCCGCCCTTAGCGACGCCAGCACCACCTGACACAAATACCTCGCCACCGGCATTATCTCTAGCAGAACTGCCACCGGTTAGTCGAACGGCGCCTGCCACAGCTCCTGTAGAAGGCGATGTCGACAACAAGGAAGCTCCGCCCGTCAGCAACACGTCACCTGCCGCGGATTCAGAGCTGGACCCACTGCGCACGTCGACATCGCCGCCGTCAGCCACCGAAGAACCAACCCACAAGTTGATGCTTCCTGCGGATGAGCTGATGCTCGTCGCCGAACCGGACAAGACATGCACATCGCCCGACACCACGCCATCTGCACTCTGCAGCCGCACATCGCCACTGCTGCTCGAGCCTTCTCCGCTTCGCAACTCCACTGACGCACCAGGGCCCGACACGCTCTCGCCGCCAGACACCCTCACATTGCCTCCCGTCGCACCAGCACCACCGGCCAAAGCCAACGCACCACCCGCAGCAACAGTGCTACTACCGCCGGTGACGCTCACAAGCCCACCGGTACCTGCAGCCTCGCCACCGAACACGCTCACCGACCCGCTCGACAGAGCATGCGACGCGCCAGACGCGATAGCTACAGCGCCAGACGAACCGCTTGCCGTCGACCCACTCAACAGCGACACCGACCCGCTCACAGTCGTGCTTGCGCCGCCTTCAGACCCGAGCGTCACCGACCCGCTCTCTGATGTCAAACCGTCGCCGCTCAAGATCGTCACGCTGCCGCCTGTCAACGACCCCGACGCACCGCCCAACACAGACACCGCGGAGCCTTCACCATTCATGGAAGAGCCACCAGACACCTCGATCGAGCCAGTACTAGCATCACCGGACCCGCTGCCGATACGAATGGACCCGCTAGACACGCTGCTAGCGCTAGTGCGCACCTCGACGCCACCGCTGGAGCCGCCGGACATGACGCTTGTGGACACACGCACGTCACCGCTGCTCACAGCACCACCGCCGCTTGTCAACAGCACCGCACCACCCACAGTGGACGCAGACGACCCACCATCAATGGACACGTCGCCTCCCGCACCTTGCGCGTTCCCAGAACCGATGATCTTCACCTTCTGCGCTATGTCCACGTTGGTCACACTGCCACCACGCAGCTCCACATCGGCACCAACAGCACTGCTGTCGCCCTGGACGAGGCTCAGGCTGCCGCCAGAACCACTGCGGACAAACACGCTGCTGCCGGACGCACTGCTTCCGGAGTCACCGCTCGACACAGTCACATCACCACCGACGCCACTCGATGACGAGCCACCAGATACACGAACAGCTCCGCCAGACCCGCTCGACGACGAAGAACCACCGCTCACGTCCACGGATCCGGAAGATCCCGTGTACGACCCACCGCCACCCACGAGAACATTGCCTCCCGATGCCGCCGTGCCGCTAGAGCCGCCCACAACACTCACCATCCCACCGGGCCCTGTGTCACTAGAGCCGCTAGACATACGCACAGCACCGGTATTGCCATCCACTGCGCCACCCGACACAAGCGACACATCGCCGGACGCAGATGCAGCACTTGCAGCACCACTCTCAATCGACACAAGGCCGCTCACGTCGCTGCCCACGCCGCTCGTCACAGACACCGCACCGCCCGTCGAAGAGCTGCTAGACCCTCCCGATACAGACACACGACCCGCTGCCGTAAACGCATCGCCAGACTGCACAGACACATCACCGCTGCTAGCCGCTGCCGAAGACCCCGAAGACAGCGTCACCACACCCGACGCAGCATCCGCGGACTCGCCACTTCCGATCGTAGCCGAGCCGCTCAAGGCGTCGCCGATCGCAGAAGCACCGCTCACAACGGTCATCTCACCGCTGCCCAGCAAGCC